CCCATAAAGACAGAAACCTAAATGAAACGAAAAACTGTCTAGCTAGACTTTCCAGAACTATAGAACATTTTTAAAATTTCACTCTGGAAAAAGCAGAAAATCTAAATGACAATAAACAAAATTTGGAAAGTTTATCTAAAATCTGCTCTAAATAAGAACTCAGGCTTCATACAGTCATAAATAATCACCAGTCTTCAAAGTAACAAGTACTTCAGTTGAACCACATCTAATTTTTTAAATCAAAAATGATCACATACCACCAATTCTGAATGGCTCAACCTAATCCTACACTAAACAATTCCAAAACCATAGGAAAACAAAAAGCTTTCTAATTATTTTATGAGTTAACCTTATCTTAGTAGCCCATATGTACACAAGCAAACCTTGTAAGCAATCTAATAAAAAAATCCTAGGGGGATTGGTTCCAGAACCCTCAGGGATACCAAAATCTGTGAATCCTCAAGTCCCTTACATAAAATGATACAGTATTTGCAACATATAACCTACACTCATCCTCCAGCATACATTAAATCATCTCTAGATTACTTACAATACCTAATACAATGTAAATGCCATATAAATAGTTGTTATACTGTACTGTTCAGGGAATAATGACAAGAAAAAAAGTCTGTACATGTTTAGGACAGACACAATCATTCTTTTTTTTTTTTTCAGAATATTTTCGATCTACAGTTGGTTGAATCCATGGATAGAGAAAGCCAACTGTATACTAAATCCTAAGTTAAAATTTAGTATATTAAATTTGGAAATACATTTCTTAAAAAAGCATCATGACCAAATGGAGTTTTACCAGAAATTCAAGGACAGTCCAAACAATAGAGTTTTATGGTTAAGAGCAGGGATTTATGAGTCTCATAACCCTGAGTTTAAATCCTACCTTCAACACATACTAGGGATGAGTTTTCTAATACTATTTACTCAGCTACAACAAGAAGGGGGAAAATAGTGCTCATTTCATAAAGTGGTTGGGAAGATTAAATGAAAAAAATTCATAAGACTCTTACATAGTGCCGTACGCATGGTACATAGTAAATATTCATGTATGTCGTCTACTACAATTATTATTTTATTGACAAATAAAATATCACATCATTCATTGAAAAAAAGACATTTGATTAAAAGTCAGTGTCTAAATCTGATTTTAAAACATTTATAAAATTTAGGAATATAAGGAAACTTGCACATTAATCCTAGTAATCTTAGCTACAGCAGTAAAATAAGAAAATGAAAATATTTAAAAGAATGACAAGAAAGAAGTCAAAATAATAATTATTTGTAAATTATATGGACTGTATACATAAAATATTGAAAAAATCAAAAAATATTTATTAGAACTGATGAGAATTCATTAAGAAGGCTGGATACAATGTTAATATGCAAATCAAAATTAGGTGAGAAAGGGAATAAGCAGCTGGAACCTTCTTCTGCCCAAATCAAGCCTATAACAAGATAACCAATTGATTCCTCGTAAAGAATGTCCCTTTTATGTAACATTTAAAGTGATTTAATAATGTTAACTGTCAAATGCTGCACTGCATATTTTTATAACCTGAGATAATATCTAAATTGGAAAATACTACATGTCATTTTAACTAAGAAATTTACCCTGAATCCAGTTTGTATTGTTTTTCAAGTTTTAACTCTGAACTTGGTTAATCTGGGACATCCTTTCCACCTACCCCCCAACCATTTAAATAACTAAATGAAAGTTGACTGCGGATCCAGATTACTCTGCCTCCGTCCTCTACTATTTCTTTTTTTATCCTCCCTATACAGAATAAATGCTTACTTAGCTCCATTAAACACTCTGATCCAAAGAAGTTGCTCATGTCTAATCATACTAACTTTAAGGCTTTAGAAGATTCAGAACCATTTAATGACTTGCCAAAGGTCACAGTAAATTGATTTAGATCTAATCCACATCCTCTCTTTTCATCACCACTGCCCATTTTCCTAGCATGAGCACAGTTTCAAGCCTTCGTTGTTTCTCAATAATTTTTAAATCTTGAGATTCAGTTAAGGAACTAAAATAAGCACTGTACTTGCATTCCTTCTTAAATCCACCCATTCACTCATTATTCCATTCATTGAATATTTGCTGAGTCCTACTAAGTGCAAAGCACTATTCTAAACACTAGAGTGAAACAATATAGGCGAAGTACCTACCCTTAGGAAACTAATATTTTATTCAACTCAGAAGGATGCATTTAATGTAAATAGTATCATTTTGCTCTAAAATTAATTTGGTCTCTGGGAGGAACCCTCCTAATGCTGCCCTATAGAATCTCATTTGGAACTTGAATCTATGTATCAAATTTCTGAGATCTAAGGCTTCCGCACTTAGGTAAATATCAAGCACAAAGGCTAAGATACACATCCAAGACAAAAGTTACCACATGATTTAACTGTAGTTAATCTGCTGCCAACTCCACCTCACCTGTAACATCTAAACCTCAGAAAAGCAGCTCTCTGCAGGTTTACTACATCTCGTAACTCCCTGCTTGGCCAAACTCCAGCAATCAACCAAAGAACACATCAAAGAGAAAAGCAGCACCTTGCTTCATCATGCTACACTGTGACAAAGACCGATAAACTTTGTAGATGAACAAAAAACTGATGAAAGTTTTGTATAGTGCCACTTTTTTAAAAGATTATTAATTTTACATCACTCTGCCAAAAAAGAAAAAAAAATCTTGAAAACCTGGGAAACCGTTCCAAACACCGTAATATAACTCTTTACCTAAAACTTACAAGCACAGGCACACACACACGATTTTTTTAAAGAGAGCAGAAAACCGGCTAAAATTTTGCCTATGCAAAATACACTAGACACCTATCCTTTTTACGGATAATACATTCAACTTCTAAGTGAAAACAGTTTCACTTTTGTTTCTTCTAAGTATGAAGTTTACTTCCTAGTTACTAGCTTGAAGTCCACTTCCTGGTAACTGGGTTGATGGATGTAAATCTGTCAATTTATTTGAGGTAGATGGTTTAAAGTATTTATGGCCATAAAATATTTTTTAAATAGTTCTAAGATGAGTAACAAAGTTAACAGTGTATTAATATAGAAAGCAAACACACATTTAGGTGTTCCTTTAAAAAAAAAA